CAATGTATCCATCAATGAATGATTGGATTAAAACTACAACTATATATATACAATACCACACTACTCAGTCAGAAAGACAGAATGAAATCACACATATTGTGACAATATGCATGGAAATGGGAGTCATTTTCTTAAGCAAAACAGGCTCGGTATTGAAAATCAAATATAACATGTTCTCACTGGTAAGTGGTTGCTAAAGAATGTGTTTGCATGGATGGGGAGAGTTAAATGACAGACAATGAATACTTGGGAGTATGGGAGGCAGAGGGATTGTATAGTGAGGTATTAATAAATGCAGTGTTTGTTATTTGAGCGATGAGTACCGTAATGCCGTGACCTAAGCACTACATAATCTGAGTAACAAAATCAAACTTGTATTTCTGCAAAAATGTTTATTTTAATAAACAGAAAATCTAAACATAATGCTTCTGTACCCTGCCATAAAAAGAATACAATGACCAGTGTTGCCATGGCAGAATGAATTAGGTGTAGAGCATCCCCCAATTACACAGAGAGTTAGGAGGCAATACATAGCACATTAGCGTAGAAAAAAATTAGCAGCTGGGCACAGTGACTCACATCTGTAATCCCAGCACTTTCGGAGTATGAGACAGGTGGTTCACAAGATCAGGAGTTTAAGACAAACCGGGCCGACTTCGTGAAACTCCGACTCTATTAAAATTCAGGGCCGGGCGCGGTGGCTCAAGCCTGTAATCCCAGCACTTTGGGAGGCCGAGACGGGCGGATCACGAGGTCAGGAGATCGAGACCATCCTGTCTAACACGGTGAAACCCCGTCTCTACTAAAAATACAAAAAACTAGCCGGGCGAGGTGGCGGGCGCCTGTAGTCCCAGCTACTCGGGAGGCTGAGGCAGGAGAATGGCGTAAACCCGGGAGGCGGAGCTTGCAGTGAGCTGAGATCCGGCCACTGCACTCCAGCCTGGGCGACAGAGCGAGACTCCGTCTCAAAAAAAAAAAAAAAAAAAAAAAAAATAGCATCTGGTTCTTACAGAGTAAAAGTGCTAACAATCAACAGGAAAACATAGAAAACTAATATAATTTTTAAATGGCCAAGGTGGGTAATTGGTTGTTGGGAAATAAATAGAACTATTTGGTGTAAATTGCAGATGAGGCTTGCTTAGATGGGCTGATAAAGATGAAAGTAATGAAACAGGCTGCAGTACGACATTATTTTGAAGCTAGAACTTCACAATGATAACATAGCTTATTTGACTAGATGTAATGTGATGAAAGAGGAAAAGAGAAGAGTCAAGAAAAAATCCTAGTTTGCTTAATTAATTAGATGAATTCTCTATCAAGACAAAAAAGAGTTGGAAGAGGGAGAACTATGTAGCTGTAGGAGGGAAGAGGCAGAGGTAGGAGAAACCCTGGAGAGAGGAGGAGGTTCCTGGAAAGATTGACAGAGTGTTCCCAAAAGAAGGGTAGGATCAATGGTGTTAAACTGCCAAGGGGTCAAGGAGATGCAGGACTGAGGATTGACTCCTAAATGAGTGGAATGGAGGCAATACATGACCTTCACAGACTGAAAGGGGAAAGAACAAAAGCATCTATAATGTGTGATAAGAAAAATTTGGAAGTGGAGGGATGAGGAAATAATCACATACATAAGTTTCAAGAACTTTTGCAATAAAAATGGCAGAGAAATAATATGGTAGGAAAGAAGCACTAAGAGTCTTAGGAAGGCTTCTGTAGAAATGGGTGATGTTTCAGCAGGCTTTGGCTGCTTGAAATAATCCCATAGAGCATAGATGTAAGAATCAGGAGACAAAAGGGTCACATGCAGAAGCAAAATCCTTGACTGGGTAATGTGGTTCAGAATCAGGTGGGAAGTTAAGAGATAGGAGTCGGAAGGCTTCCCCTGTGATAATACGAGAGAAACCAGAGAGAAACCAGAGATCTGGGCTTCAGCTGAATGTGGGTTGCTCAACTTACTGGTGGTTATGGTGAGATCATTCTGTTCTGATTTTTCTGACTTTTTAGTGAATTATCTGAGGTTATCAGTGGGCACAGAGGCACTTTCTAATATTCAACCTTCCTCGTTTGAGAAGAAGACATGCCAGTATCTGCAAGGTTTTTGGTATGGATGTTATCTCATTAGCCTCCATACTCTAAGGTGGTTATGATTATTCTCATTTTAGATGAGTATATTGAAGCCCAGAGAGTCTAAGTTTCCTTTTAAGAGTCAAGAGATAGTAAGAAAAAGAGTTAGGTCTTCATTAAAATCTGAGAGTGTCCAAATGCTTTGCTCCTTTAAATCATGCTGCCTCTTTAATGAAATCCATTCAGGTTTCAATAAGGAATGGTGGGAAACATAGGAAGGGAGAGAAGTGATCACTGTTAAAATAGGGTAAATGGGAGAGAAGGTTGTGGGGTTAAGAAACACAGAACCATATTCATTCCCTTGAAACTGAACTCAGTTTCTTAGAAATTATAAGGATTTCTTTCAGCTTCTGTGACTTGTTTGCATTTGTTGTGTTTCTTTGTCCTTAAGATTTCTGGAATATCAGTAAACAATCTGAAAATAATTTTCAAATTTCTATTTGTGCTATAGAAGTCAGAGAAAGGCCAGGCATGGTGGCTCACACCTATAATCCCAGCAGTTTCAGAGGCCAAAGCAAGTGGATCGCCTGAGGTCAGGAGATGGAGACCAGCCTGGCTAACATGGCAAAATCTCATTTCTACTAAAAATACAAAAATTAGCCATGCATGATGGTGGGCACCTATAACGTCAGATACTTGGAAGGCTGAGGCAGTAGAATGGCTTGAAGCCAGGAGATGCAAGGGGCAGTGGGCCAAGAATGTGCCACTGTACTCCAGCTTGGGTGAAACAAACTCCATATCGAAGGCGGGGGGAAAATAATAGAAAACAGGGAAGTAGAGAAACAGTAAAACCTTTTTTCATGGCAGCTGGCTAAATTAGGATTAAGCAGGAGGGAAGCTTCCTGGAGCATCAAGGAGAAGGGTTCCTAGATGTTCTTATAATGTCATCTTGGTCTTCAGATCCCACAGTCACAAACATTGAGAAACAGACACCACAACCAGAAATTGCAAGCTGATTATTTTATTGGTATATTGAAGTTACAGCTATGACCACGTTCTTCTAATGTCACGGCATTTGAATCATTTGAATCACTGTCATCTTCTTTTTCACTTCCTGAAACAAACAGACAAGGAAGTCCATAGACCAGACTTGACATGGCAGGAAATGTCTAATTCCTCCCTGGAGTTACTGCAGTAGAGTACATGAGAGCCTATCCCCTCTCTCCCCATCCCTTCTACCTCCTGTGTTTCCTTCCTTAGTTTTTGTGTGCTCCCTCTTTTGATGCCCTTCCGTTGCACAAAATGTGCTCCAAATCATTCCTTACGTGATAAAGAGATAAGATCATTCCTAACTTGTTATTACTTACTGTTGAGTTTGTTCAGGGATACATTTACACAGATGGTAACTGGAACATATTCTATAATAGTGAGAAGTTGAAACCACCCTCAGTGTCCAGTGACAGGAATTGGATAAAGAAATCACAGTGTAGCCACATAATGGAGTAGCGTAAAATTGTAAAAACAAACAGATAACCACTGAAGAGATCTACTTAGCTTCCTAAACTCATGTGGAAATGTTCAAAGAAATGTATTTTTTTTAATGACTAACATATGTACCTGCATACAAATTATGCTATTAGTTCTGGGGGAAAACTGTTCTATTTGTCAATGTACACATAAATATTTCAAAAAGAAGATGCCATACAGTTAACGGTGGTAGTTTTCTGAAGGTGGGAAGGCAGGTAGGATGAGTTATGCCTTTAAATATAGCTTCATATTTTTCCATTCCATTAGATATTTGTTGCAAGCTTAATCACATACTTATTGAAAAGTAAGAATTTAAAATATGGGACCCATTTAGCTGCTGAATGTTCGGGGACCACTTGGCAGGAATACTGGACTAGAGAGGCTGGAGTGAGGCAGGACAGAGCAAACAGTGCTCAGGTGAAAAATTTAAATGGGAGGTCTCTGAGTCTGTGGACAGAAAACAGAGTGCCAGAGTGAAAGTGGCACTACTTCCTCGTTACCAATACAATTTAATACAGATTATTAGAAATATTGCTTCTCAACATCAGAATTCCTTCAAGAGCTTGTTACAAATATAGGGCCTTGTTACCCATTTCCAGAATACCTGAACACAAATCTTTAGAAATGGGTTCTACGACAAAACAATGTCAATGGGTTTTTAGTTGATTCTTTGGCACAGGAAAGCTGGAGACCTGTAGCAATTAGAGCACTTGGTGAAGAATCAACTGGAATCATACCTGTCATTGAATCCTAGATTACTGGGGAGACTGTCCCTGGGGAGGTCCGCCGGGTCTGCCCCCCTGAGGAGGGGATGGTGGTCCCTGGGGCCTTCCAGCAGGAGGTGGCTGAGCCTGCTGGGCATTGCCTCCTTGTTGGGGTGGTCCTTGTTGATGTTCTGGAGGAGAAAGAGAGACGGGAAAGACATAGTAAAAGCCCACACAAGATTCACTGAATAGTTGCAGTAAATTTTGATCAGCTAGGGTAACAAGCTGAGGGGGGAAACGCACAACAATGGGACCAAGACACTAATTTCTTTGCATTTTCGGGGAAGACATAGAACACTGGAATAGAACGCTGGGGAAGAACAAAGCATTTGGGGGACTCTCAGTATAAAGAGGAGTCAGAATGACGATGCTGCCCATTTGTCTGTCGTCTCCCAGCAGGCACTCCTGGTCGGGGAATGAGACAACCTACTCCTGCTGACAACTAAGCCAAGCATCTCTGCCATTCAATTTTGTGGCCAGCTTATGGTCCCCAGAATCAAGGTTGCAGGAAGATTGCCTGTATTATTAGGGGCACTAATATAAATCAATTCTTGAAAGGTCAATGTTGATAAGAAGACACTGGAGAACTGATCCATACATCAGCAGAAAAAGACAGTCAGAACAGATTGAGAACGAACTGAGATTTACCTGATATTAGGGAGGGAGATTCTTCCTGGCCGACATCTAGAAGAGAAGCACAGGATGATGGGAAAAGTTACATCTCAAATCTTTCAAGACTCACAAGTGTTCTACAGGGAAAAGGGTCTTCTCACCACACCCCATGCATCTCCTAAGTTAACTTGTCAGCCACTGTCTGTGAAGCTGCTGAAAGGAAGGAAGGAGTAAGAGGAGGCAGGGTTCTTACGACAGAGCAGCAGCCATGAACTCAACATAAAGGAGCCCCTTTTTTCCCTCCCTGGCATCCTCAAGACTTAATACTGATTTAGTTTACACATGCCAGGGACTTCAATGTGATAGTTTGGTATTCTTATGCCCTCCACCTCCTAGAAATACATTGCTTCTGTACGCATGCTTTCTCAATTGGCGTAACCAGAAGTAATCATTTCAATACAATCTTACCCATACCACTCGCAGCACATTGAAATACCTCATATAGGGGAGAGAAAAATGACAATGATTGGCTCTGATATTTCTGTATCTCTAGTTAGACAGAGACAAGTGTTCCATCCAATTCTCTCTCTCTGCACTATCTCAGATGTGTATTTATCTCCATCATCGATGCTGATTCACTGCATAGCAAGGACACCATCATCCCTCTGTACTTAATGAGATCAGTATAGGTTGTTCACAGCTGAACTTGCCTGAATCTGCCTTGCATTCTCCACTGCATCCTTCACAGCACAGTCGTATCTCTCTATAAATGCAAATCTTACCTTCTCATTCCCCTGGAACAAACTCTTTATTGGATTTCATTGTACGTTAAATAAATTAGAAACCCTTAGTGTGGAATGAGGGTGCAATCGGTCTCCTGATCCCAGGCATGAAAACTCTGCAGCCTCATCTGGGTTTTCATTCTCTTCTCTTCCCCCTAATTACCATTATCCCCTCCTAAGCCCCACGCAGAGTCATTGCATCCTCTTCCCCTTCTGTTTTACCTTCATGTAAGTTCTGAGCTGAGCTCAGGGCCAGCAGGGCCACTGACAGCAGAATCAACAGCATCTTGCAGGAGGCTCTAGAGTTGCTCCCAACACTGTGCTGGGAGGAACGGGGCAGCTCCCTTTATAAAGAGAAGCAAAACAATGGCAGCTTTCAGCTCCACACTGGGGGGCCTCACCACCTTAGAGACTGGGTTCTGCTTTGCTCACTGCAGGTCAGGTGTATCCCTTATTTCTCTTTGATACTCTAACCCAGGGGGATGGGTTGGGTCGGATATGTTGTTAGTGTCTTATTTCTAAAAGGTACAACTGTAACTTCAACAATGGTTTTAAAGGAACTGTGCCCAAGCCATCAGCACTGTGTCATAATTGAACTTTAGATATCATTAGAGTTTCAGTCTTATAGGTAAGACTATTATCCACTTTTCACTGTGCTACTTATTTCTGTTTATGTGTGTGTAAGCAGTGATGCTACAGCCAGCAGTGAAGATGGTCTATATCTCTGGATCTTTTTATGCCCTATTTCCATCTCTTGTGATGTGTATGTACAGATATTTTCATATTTAGCTAAATTTTTGATGCGATAGAGATGGCTTCTGCTATCTAGGAGACGTGTGAGGACAGCACACTCCTGGGCACACAAAGATGACATAATGCTGCCCCGCAGCCTGCTCAGGCTACAGCTATTGTTCAAGCTTCTGTGGATCTCACTCAGCTCAGGCAAGGCTTGGTGCTGTACAACACAGGAAGGCTGAAATTGTGTATTTTAAAGTATTTTTAGAGGTTATTAATGCAAAATGAACACAGAAACCACCAGGAAATTTCTAGACCTGAGAAAACTGAATACAGAGTTCTGTGAGGGAGCCAGGCGATGTTATGTCGCTAAAACTTCCTTCATGCTCTTCCCTTTCTCTAGAATATTCTATAAAATTCACCCACTCCTGTGCTGTTTGCTAAGACCATTGGAAAAGCACAGTATTAGGGTGGGAGTGACCTGATTTTCCCGGTGCCGTGTCTCACAGCTTCCCTTGCTATTTACAATAGCAAAGACTTGGAACCAACCCAAATGCCCATGAATGATAGACTGGATTAAGAAAATGTGGCACATATACACCATGGAATACTATGCAGCCATAAAAAATGATGAGTTCATGTCATCTGTAGGGACATGGATGAAACTGAAAACCATCATTCTCAGCAAACTATTGCAAGGACAAAAAAACCAAACACTGCATGTTCTCACCATAGGTGGGAATTGAACAATGAGAACACTTGGACACAGGAACGGGAACATCACACACCGGGGCCTGTCATGGGATGCGGGGAGGGATAGCATTAGGATATATACCTAATGTAAATGACGAGTTCATGGGTGCAGCACACCAACATGGCACATATACACCATGGAATACTATGCAGCCATAAAAAATGATGAGTTCATGTCCTCTGTAGGGATGTGGATGAAGCTGGAAAGCATCATTCTCAGCAAACTATTGCAAGGACAAAAAAACCAAACACTACATATTCTCACCATAGGTGGGAATTGAACAATGAGAACACCTGGACACAGGGAGGGGAACATCACACACGTGGGTCTATCCTGGGCTGGGGGGAGGGGTGATGGATAGCATTAGGAGATATACCGAATGTAAATGACAAGTTAATGGGTGCAGAACACCAACATGGCACATGTATACATATGTAACAAACCTGCACGTTGGCACATGTACCCTAGAACTTAAAGTATAATTTTAAAAAAAACAAATTACAAGTCTCCCCACCTGCAGGACTCTTCATGTCCCCCTGTCACTCGCCACCATCAAATGTACTGGCTGATGACAACTTGACAATTCATAAACACATGGCAGGGGAAGAATCGTAAAAGAATATATGTTCCACGAGTTAAATGGCACAACGAAGAGGCAATCATACAAATTCAGAATGTGAGATATTCTTAAAGGCAACTGGCCTAGCTGCTTCAAAATATCAGTGTTATAAAACTGCATGAAGAAATGAATGAATGAATGAATGAATGAGGGAACTCTTCTAGATCAAAACAAGCTAAAGAGACTCAACGGAATGCAATATGCAACCATTGATTAACATCTAGTTTGGAAACAAGAAAGCCAGAAAGAAGTATTTAGAAGAATTGGGGAATGTGAATGTGGATTAACTATTAGATGATATTGTGGAATCACTGAATTTGAGTTTCTGATGCAGGAGGTGATAATGGTATTGTTGACATGTAAGAGAGTGTCCTTGTTCTTCAGAACTGCAGGCTGAAACATTTAGTGGCAGAGTGTCAAGATATCTGCAACTTACTTTCAAATAGTTTAACAATAAAATATATATATATATATGTATAAAATATATATGATACCATGGTGAATTTTATATATATATACATACACCTTGAAAGAAACAAGCAACTAAGGTAAATGATGAACAATCGTTAAATCTAGGTGAAGAGTTTATGGATATGATACAATTTTTTCAACATTTCTGTGTGTGCAAAATTTTTCACAATAAAAAATTGAGGAAAAAAATAAATTCTCCAAGTGCCTGCCATGTCCCTCACTGTGCTACAGGGTTTTATACATTGTTACAGCCCAGAGAAGGCACACAGAAGAGGACTTTTTAGGTCTTCTTGGTTTTGGCAGGTATGTCATTTCTTTTGCAATAGATATGCCTACTAATTTTATTTGGACTAACAGGAAGAAAAGGTTTGGCCTCACAACACAATTAATGACAATGGGATGCTGTGTACTATGAGTGAAGTAACAGCAGGGAGCCTGGAACTAAGATATTGCTACTGTTCATCTACAAAGTATATAATATCCCTAGGTGATGGAAGGAAGACTATAAAACATCCCTATGTTTACTTGTGCAAAGCATGCAGCCATATATTTCCTTTTTGTGTCTATTCACAATGATATGTCAGTCTTGGACGCCAAGTCCCTGGAAGGAAGGGACAATATCTATCCAAATCACTGCTCATCCACCAGCATGACACCACGGTGAAATCAATATTTAACATGGCAATAAAATGCTGATGGTGAAAAAAAATTCACCCACTGCTTCATTTCTTTTAGGGATTATATCAAATTCCTACCACTGATAATTAAGTGGCCACAATTCTACATTCAAATAAGATAATCAGACACCACTATCAAAGCCTCAATTGCATTGTATAGGTTTTCTTGGTTTAGTCAGTATTTGTGGTACCTGTTTCCTCAGATTGTTCTTCCACAAAGAGTATTTTTGTCTACAATATTATGATAGACATTCCTCCCCACGTTCTCTCTACTATGTCTTTATTCATATTTTATTTCCTGGGTCAAGTTCATTATGTGTATTTTTTATTATATATCTGGCTTTTTCCCCCATGAATTTGGTGAGATTTCCTTTATTGAATCTTCTAATAATAGGATATAGTACTCCTCACCACCTTTTTTCATTCCTGTCTGTGTAATTTCACAATAAATGTTGTGTTTCCAAAAAGCCCTATCAGAGTCCTGCATTGTTTAGCACCTCTTTCAGCTGCTGATTCTTCTGTTTTATCTGGTAAATCCCTGCATGTCAGTTCATGAAATATACAGGTTAGTCGGTATCAACAGCTGCCACTTTCCACTTAGACCTTCTGTGTGTCTTGTGTAATAGTTCACATTTTGTGCACGGCTGGTGTTAATTTGAGCACAGCTTGGTTGGAGGTATGATGGGGGTAGAGAGGGTGTGCGACAGGAAATCCTAAAGACAGGCCTCTTGACCATTGTGGATGAGTGGATCCTGGGCTGTGCAGATGAGGTTCTGGTCTGGCTCTTCTGAAGGGTTGTGGGTGATACTACAGAGAGACTTCCTAATACAAAGGCTTTCCTACGGGTAACTTTGCCCTTGCAAGAGAAGCAGGCAGATTGGTATTTTCCCTGGCATAAATATGGATGTACTTGAAAGAGGAATACATTACTAATTGGCAATTCTTTCTGGCTCTATGGAAAGTGGATTGGTTCTAGCTGAGCTTCGTGAGTTTACTCTTAGGCAGAGAGTAGTTGTTTGGTCCCAGCAGATCCCACTGTATTATTGAGATTTGTGTCTCTGGTCTCACCAGACACTGTTTTCCATAGGAACTGGGGAAGAGCAATCCTGCCTCGGTGGCTTAAGTTAGACCATCAGGCAACAAAGGAATGCCAGAGACAAGGAGCAGCGAAGAGGCCTGGCTGACATTGCCTGATATTATCACCAACTGAGGTTGCTGTAGGCCTGAGGCAAGACCGACTTGTCCTTGGCAGGAGAGTACAGGAAGAGAACAGAAATGTCCCTAAAGGTCACTCATCTCCGGCCTTTTCCCGGATCTTCTCCAGTGTCAGCAATGAGTAAAGTGTATCAGGAAAGCATAAATATCACCTATGTACTCACCAGACCAAAAAAAAACAGAAGTGATGGTAGAGCTGAAAAGGACACTGTCTGTGTGCCCAGTCATTATTCTAAGAAAAATTTTTACTCACTCCCACTTATAATGAGGGGCCACAATTATACACTCCAATAACATAGTCTGGTAACCACATAAAAGCATCAAGCGTATTGCATTGAGCTATTTCTTAGCACCTGTGCAGTTTCCCAGATTGTTCTTCCACACAGAAGATTTTTTTCTTTTTTGCAATATTCTGAAACTACTTCTTCCCCACTCCCTTTCTAAAATGTGTTTGTTAACATTTTGTGTTCTAAATCAATCTCCCAAGTTTTTATTTTTCATCTCGTATCTGGCTTCTTTTAAAATAAATCTTGGGAACATTTTTAAATATAGTCTTCTAAGTAAGCATCTATAGTTCTTCTTACTCCTTTCATGATCTGCCACACATTTCAAATTCCAACATGTGAGAAATGTAAACGCGTGCATCTCAAACTCAACAACTGTGATAAGAAATGTTTGCTAGAATTTATTATTAATGTCCTTAAGCAGAAGAGAAGACCCTGTTCTGAGAGGAAACCTATGTGTTCAATTAAAGAGAAATGAGTCTGTCATTAACCACTTGAAGACAATCCCTCTTTTAAAGATATCTGCTTACGTGTTTCTCATACAACTTTATAACAATATGAAGATTTCTGTTGCTTTCTATCACATATAAAGAAGTTGTGATTCTATTTCTCTGTGAACTTTGAAATGAGTAAACGTTGCAAAACACCCCCTGACATTGCTAAAACCGTGGTAAGCTGAGGCTAAAGACTTTAGGTTAGTGAGCATTACTTCCTTCCAGCCACAACCACTGACAAAGAAACACCAGCTCTGGGACCAGGACATTGGAGGTGTCTCAGGCAGAAGCCTGATAGCTATCCATATGATATACAAATTTATCTTTTCATGTACAACTCTCTGACCAATCTCCGTCTTGACTTCCTAAAATTTTCAATTTCTTGTGAAAAATGAATCAAAATTTAGGTCCCTTAAAATGATATCCAGATTAGCCAATGTTTCCGAAGACACCAAGGAGCGACCAGATATTGGATTTTGAGTATTCCAAAAGGAGAAGAAATGGGAAAGGGAAAGGAAAAATTTTTTTAAAAAATGTTAGGAAAAATTTGTCAAGGCTAGCAAGAGATTGGGCACCTAAATGCAGAACCTCAAACATATCCAAATTGACACAACCCCAAAAGGATTACTCCAAGGCACATAACAGTCAAAATGTCAATAGTCAAAAACAAAGGGAAAATTCTAAAAACAGTAAGATGAAAACATCAAGAAATGTATTAGGGAAGCCTCATTAGATTAGGAGTGATATTCAGTGATGAAACAGTACAGGCCAGGACAAAATGAAATTATATATTCAAAGTGTTCAAAGAAAAAAAAATCTGCCAGTCACAAATACTATCTCCGGCAAAGGACACATTCAAAATGAAATAACAATAAAGTCGTTATTTCAACTTTATGGAAATAAAAGCTGAGGGTATTCATCACCACTAGACCCACTCTACAAGAAACAGTTAAGGTAATTCTATACCTTGAAGCAAACAGACGATATGACATCATGAAAACACAAGAAACAAAAAGAAGTTCAAAGAAGCCAAAACAAAACTGTAATAAGGTTCTATCAGAACTCTCAA